AATCTTGGCTCAATTACACACATTTATTTATAACTTTTCCAATTTTGGTCTGAAACTATTGTGAGTGACTAAAATTTCGAGGAAATACATTTAGCAAATCAAATTTTCTGGCGAAAACATGTTTTTTTTTAAGTTAAGTTAAGTTAAAACTTTTATAATAGTAATTATATTTTTATTATCATTATTATTATTATTATTATTATTTTTATTATTATTATTATTATTATTAGAATAAACTTAAAGTTTCTCATATAAAGAATTATTACGCTATTTTCAATATATTTCTAGACTGTTGTATTTGAGTTCGTCAGTGCTTTTAAAATTACTTTTCGTGATTTTATTAGTTATATTTTCGATACAAAAAATCAAAACTAAAATATACATGCTATAATTATTAAAATAAATACAAAAATAGGTGTTCTGTTCAGACGAATTTTATTTTTTGTAAATTGTTCAAAGAGTTATAAAGATGTTGCTATTTTAGTCCTGTATGAATGAAATTTTCAGGTTATTATTTTTCACAGATTTTTTTTATTATAAAACTATCAAGTATTTTACCATTTCACTTTCATTTTTGATAGAGCTTGCTAACATAGTTTAGTAAATTTTTTAAAAGCCTTTTAAAAATTATCAATTTTGATAATTTTAAATTTATAGTTTGCAGTTTTAATTATAGAAAATTTGCGACAAATGTGTCATTATTTTTAGCTATAGTTCTCGAATATATAGTCGTGCTATTTACGATTACGTTTTTAAACTTGATTTGGACAAAAATAATAAAAATCAACAACAACAAAAATCGAAAAATGGCTTAACAAAGTTTTAACAAAGAAGGGCAAGTTACAGTAATCGCAAAAAAATCGAAAATAAACATTTTTATATATCCTTACGTTCTAAAAGTTTCTGAACATTTTGGCATATCTTAGAAAAAAATTATGTATGTGTATGTATGTTCGGATACAAATGTTTGTCGGCGATTTCTGGAACACGGATCAATAGATTTGAATAATTAAAAAAACATTAGATTAATATTAATAAGGAGATGTGCTGATTAGTTTTTGGTAAAGGCAGGTCTAGTCGTTTTAAAGATACGGGGCAAAAAATGGTATAATAGTTTTTGAGAGGACAGAGCTCGAATATTAATTTGTGATACGGGAAGTTCTAGCAATTTGCCCTGAGGCACGATGCCATGCACCACTAGTCTAATGTTTTTCATGATAGCTACCATCAATACATACTATCACCCCTTTGCGGGTTGACGTTACCTTGTGGAACTGTATTACTAAAAATATGAGGATTTGTCTAATATATTAAAGCTTGGTCATCTATGTTTAACATTTTACAAGTCTTTTTACTTCTAGTACTGGTAAGGGTTTTTCCTTTGCTAAAAACGCAAGGCGAACTAGTGGCCGTGTTCGGAAACGGCGGTGTCTATAAATAAAATCGCACCGGATGGCGTGCTCGCTCGTTCGGACAGACCGAGATAAGATACCGGACTAAATTGTTCTAAAGAAAAGACATAAGAACCCACCTACCTACATACCTACATACTTACATGCACACCTAGAAAATATTCACTAATGGCATCTAATTGTACCCCTTTTACTTACCCTGAGTGCTGTATTTTAATCAAACTCTGTGTAAAAAACAGACACGATTAATTGATTTCTAAAGTTCAAAGTGCATGATACAATCAAGTACGAATAAAACGATCTTAGAATAACAACAAGAACAATATTCCATAATATTCAACTTAGAACAATATGAAAGTATTATTTAGTAGGGTATGGCACAATGATCCAATTTGACTCGAGGCAAAAAGCCTACTTTTCTAATACCCTAATCTTAAGGGGCACACCTAGTGTGAAATTTTCAAAAAATCGAATTTTAAATTTTTCTATATTTCGATAGGTTATACCTTTAAAAATAATATACTAAAATTTTAAATCTATATCTTAAATAGTTTTTAGTTACAGCCATACAGCCATTTCGGTTGTACAAAAACCTTGTAGATTTTTTTTATATATTTATGTTTCCGAATCTCAATTATCTATTCAAGGATTTTTGCAGTTATATGAAAAGGAATTTTTCAATAACGAACATATATCAAGGGGCACAACTAGTGTAACCGCCTAAAAAAAGATGATTTTTGGGAATTTATATTAAAAAAACTACTTCATCAATCATTTCAATCATTTAAGAATATATTTATACATGTTTTAAAAATACATAGCAAAATTCTTGAAGAAAAAAAATAAATATTTTTTATGTTATCGTCGATCTCCAACGGCGTAACAAAAAAGGCCCTTCACTGCTGCAGTGATTCCGGCCTTCTACGTGGATGAAATTAAAAAAAAAAAAATCTCGTTAAACAAGATAATATTGTCTGTAAAATGAACTACGATAAAGAAAAAAAAATCAAAAATTGACAAAATGACGACGTTTTTTAAAAAAACGTCGAATTTTGCCCAAAATTTTGGTCGTTTTTGAACTGCCAAAATTCGATTTTTGATTCGATCAAAAAATCGATGGTTCATTTTACGAAAAATTTGATAGTGATCGGATCATTTGCTTTTGAGTAATGGCTGCAGCAAATTCGGAAAATGCTGTTTCGAGAAAAACGCATTTACAAGATAAAATAATCGTTATACTACATGTATACTCTTTAAATGGCTGTGACACGAAAACTATTTAAGATATCGATTTAAAATTTTGGTATATTATTTTTAAAGGTAAAACCTATCGAAATATGGAAAAATTGAAAATTCGATTTTTTTTAAATTTCACACTAGTTGTGCCCCTTAATAGTGAATATAAGCATAAGTAAAACCTATAAATATGACTCAATATTGAAGTAATAAATATCAGCACTAATAATAGTATAAGTACTAATGTTTCTATATTTATTTATGATTCTATATTGTTTTACACTTTTTGCCTTTTCTATATTATAGTATACATTTTTGACTATTTTTATCGCGTATTGTTTGAGTTTTTTATATATCCACATATGGCGTTCGTGATAATCTTAATGCACCTATTATTTTATTTCATTGCCGAAGTAAAGTATCAGGGCCGCATCAATAAATTCGCATTCACAAAATCTTTTTAAAGAACTAGTTGTAAATGGCACTTCAAGGTGTAAGGAAAGTTACTTCTTCTTAAATTTCATTAGTCACCGAGGCATTTTTTTAAGAAACTTAAATTATTTTGTAAAAATTAAATATTTGCTACAAGAAAGTATTGACACAGTTACAATCCAATATTTATTTATTTATTTGAGTTAATGGTAATATTTTTTACACAACCATAAGAAATTTTTGTATACTGCTCTGTTGGGTGGCATTGATATGAAGAATCTATTTAGATAATTATCTTTAGTTTAGTGTGATCATTGTCTCTTATTGTATAAGTTTTATGACAATCATAAAAAAAAATCCAATATTTAATTGCTACGAAAGGCACAGCCAATTTTCACCAAAAACAAATCTTTAAAATCTTTAAAATCAGGCTAAAAGTTGGATGAAAACATTTTTGCAATTTTTGTCAATTGTGAAAAAAACAGCTTGGCCAATCATCCTGCAAACTAATTAATTGCAACTTATATTATTAAGGTACATTGAATAAATTTCAAATTTTTGAAATCGGTCCAGACGTTTACGAGAAAACTTGAAAACGCAAAATCAGAAAAACGGCTCACATACACATACACACATAATTTTGAAAAGTTATTCTCGTTTGATTCAAATAAATGTTTTGCAACTTTGAGAACATTGATTAATTAGCAAATAGATTTTTTTAGGGTAAACAAACACTAAAGGATAGAGTAGACTTCATAGTCTACGCCTAGTTGTCTTGCATATTTTTAACTACCCATAGTGTAAGTTATTGTGATCGTCCAAAAATCGAAATTGAAATATTTTGCATTTCTTTACGTTTTAAAGGTTTCTGAACAATTTTTCGCCCACGGTTCCGGCGCACGAATCAATCGATTTGAATGATTTAAAAAACATTCGATTTCTATTGATGAGAAGTAGCAGTAATTCACTTTTAGAGAGAACGGAGTACCCGATTTGAATGATTCAAAAAACATTTTACTTGTATTTACAAAATGAAGAATCGATTAAATTATTGTTAAGGCAGGTCTTATTATTATTGTTATCTGTATTTTGGAGATACAGAGGAAAAACTAAAAAGAATGATAATCGGCGGTCATTAGACATCTGTTTATAAAATTATCAATTATTTTATAACAATTCTAAAAATGAGTGCAATCTTTGTCACAATGTTCGGGGTTCCGTACCAAGATTTCAAATGTTTAAAGTTCACTTATACGATTCAAGCAAATTTCAAAATTTTTAGAAAAAAAAATTCAAAATTTAAAAAAAAATACAAAATTATATATATTAAATATGAATTTTAAATTTACAATTCTGTTTCAAAATGTATTTATCTCAAATGCGTTATTCTAATTGTATGAAATATATCCTCAGATGGATTCATTCATTCACCTCCTACTAATGTAAACTTTCTCAAGTAAGTTAGATAAGATCGTCACACTTGATGGCAGTATGTTTTAATAGCTCTTTTCATACGTTAATTGAAACAAATATATATAATGATATTCTCAGAATTGGTGTATACAATTTGTATCTTTATGTAAAATTCAATTTTCAAATTAAAATTATTAATTAGATCGTCCCTGTATATTTTATGAATGATAAAATATATAGTGATTATAGATATCTATTTGAATATGTATAAAACAATTGTTGTAAATCATTGATCAATTTTTATTGATTACTGATGTTTTTCTTCGAAAATTTAGTTCTGGTACGCGAAGTCCCAGCAATTTGTCTTAAGGCACGATGCCATGTACCACTAATTTATTTATCTATTATTACCTAATTCTACTGATTGCACCTCTGATCTTCTAAAATCCATTTTTGGTCTCGTGTATGACATCAACATTGAATCGATGATGGTTCAGTGGGCATTATTGGGCGCTCCTATCGCCCTATATAAATTTATTTAAGAATCATTTAAGAAGTTAGTCAGTCATCATGTCACTTGCGGGAACTTCGGATGTTGAAAACGAAGGTAAAATCGAAATATCTATCTTTATCCGTAAATTATAGTGAAAACGACCAAAACATCTATATAGTGAATATGGGAAACACGTGCATTGATGAAAGTGATCCTTTAAATTTCTTTTATATTTTTTATTGACTGAAAAGTGCTTCTGATATCATTGAATTTGAAAAATAAATTAAACAATTTAATTAAACAATATTTGTGGAATGGCTTGACTTGTGCTTTTAGTCTGTTCTAAACTATATCAAATATTTATCATCTTAATGCTTTAGTATATTAAACAAAACGATATATTTTTGTATATTTTTTAAAAGCAAAAAAATATTTTTATCAGTTGAAATGTTACATGTCATAGCCTATGTTATAGCATTTAAAAAATTCAAGTTAATTTTATTTGTATTTTAAATTATAAACAGAATATTCTGAGAAATTATTTGGTATGTCAGTGATTTGAAGAGTTACATTTGTGCAAACTTGATAGTTATGGTTCTTCTTGTAACGGTTTACAAAAAAAGTTTAAATCACTATTTTTATTATTTTTTTTTTAAATCACATAAACTAAACACCTGATATTAAGAAATTATATTAAAGTTTTTGATATTAAGAAATTATAAAAAGAATTTTATTAGTAGAATAAGGCAAACTTTCGTTGTTTTCAATTTATTATAGTCAAATATTCACATTGTGATATTTAGGGAAAAATATGACCCGACAAGCGTTGTTTTGCCATAAAAATTATTTCTAGTATAAAATGTTTAGTACGAAAATAACTAACTGATTACAAATGTGGTACACGAGTGAAAGGAGCAGCTAAAAAAATATATAAATAGTTTACCCACTGCAAAGCATACCACATATAAATGTCCCTTAATAATAGTCTTTGCAAGTGCCTACCTTATGTGAAACCGATTCTATTTAAATTGAATTGGCACATTTAATGTTTCAAGGTTTTGATATTTTATTACCGTACATATTATTAATTCAGTCATTTTTAAATTACAAACAAAAACTGTTACATCTATAGGTTTTAATATTCAATATTTATTTTTTTGAAAGAAATTGCTCCTTATGCAAACCATGCATTAACTATGTGCTATTTATGCGTATCGGGAAATATTTGTACAATGGGAAAATGGGAGGAACGAACAACCCTTGATAAAATTAATTTGTTTTTTGTTTTGTTTAAAATTTATTGACTTTGTCGTAAAATCAGAAAAATAACAATTAAAATTCAGTATACAAAACACTCACTGACTGAAAGTGTGGTGAAAAATTATTTGATTACTAAAATAGCTATTATGAAATAGAGATTTATGGAAGGACGGTAAAAATTTAGATTTTGTGCATTTTTTAATTTCGCATTATGAACATTAAAATTTAAAGGAAAATTAATCCAATTTTTTTAAAAAAGTTATAGGTGGACAACCCTTGATAAAAATAAATATTTTTCAATTTCGAATTATTGAAAATTAAAATAAAGCAAAATGGTGCCAAAAATTAAACAAATGTTAGGTGTGGACAACCATCGATAAAAATAAATAGTATTTTAAAGTAAGATATGTGAATTGTAGGTATTTTTCAACTTCGCATAAGAAAAACAAAGAAAATTTACCTCAAAATTGAAAAAAGTATTGGAATTGGACAACCATTAATACTGTTTTTTCTTCGAGCTTAAGAATCTGAACAAAATCTATCTAAAACCTATCTATCCATGCCCATCGTTCAATCCCTGGGACCTCCCCTTAGAGGACCCAATAGAAAAATTGCATCATTTTTGGTACGTCAACATGACAAAAATCAGCAATTTATTTTCATTATAATATTTATTTATATTATTATGTGAGACTTATAAATTATTGCTTAAAGTCTTTTTTGGTTTCAAATCTGGAAAATTTTGCGCGGCTCTTCAATATCGGAACCATAACAGCCTCTAGCTAGCATAGAAGCGCAGAGACAAAATGCATTGTAAAAATTGAAACAAAAAAATTTTAATTTCTTTTTTGTTAAAAAGTATTTTGCGTGTGTATGAATTAATATCCAACTAGTTGGTTTGGTATTTAGCCTTGAGGCAAGTTACATGAACTTCCCGATATGTGTAAATAATCGACTTGATCAAAAAAATGTGTAAATAATATACTTCATCAATCCTACTTTAAAAAAAAACGATAATAATTTTAGCAAAGTTTGACGAATTTTTAAAATTAAACTACTTGTCGTAAGGCCGTAATATTACAGTAAGTTCTATAAGACCATGATGTATATCGCCAAAAAAAGTTCCATGAAAATCGGCTTAATTTTTTTTTCAACAGTTAATTACAAGAAAACGGCTCGGTAGATTTTCACCTAAAACTAATCAGTACCATTCCCAACTAATATCTTTCGAACAGTTTTTGATTTTTTAAAATCGGTTCGGTAGGATGAGCTTAAATGTGGACGAAAAGTTTAACACTTTTTTTCAAATTGCAAAGAAACGGCTTGGCAGATCGTCACACAAAACTGACAAACGATAGTCCTCACCGAAATACATCAAATAGCTTTTAAATTTCTAAAATCGGCTCAGGCGTTTTTGAGAAAACGTCGATCAAAGGTCTAATTTTGACAAATGCCAAAAAAACGATACCAATTTTTGCAAACTTTGACGAATTTTTAAAGCTGAACCAGTTGTCGTAGGGCCGTAATATTTTAGTATGATATAGAAGACTATGGTATCTACCGTCAAAAAAATAATCATAAAAATCGTCGAAATTTTTTTTTAAAATCTTTATTACAAGAAAACGGCCCGGGCGATCTCTACCAAAAACTAATCAGCACGATTCCCAACCAATATCTTTCGAACGGTTTTTGAATTTTCAAAATCGATTCAGAATTGCGGGCTAAAACGTGGACGAAAAATTTTTCACTTTTCTGCAATTTACAAAGAAACGGCTTGGCCGATCGTCGCACAAAATTGACAAACAATAGTCCTCATCGAGATACATCGAGTGGTTTTTGAATTTTTGAAATCGTCTAGCCGTTTTCGAGAAAACGTAGATTTACGGCAAAAAATCTGTTCACATACACGCACACACACATACACACAAACACACACACACACACACACATACTTTTTCCAAATTTGATCTCATTCGATTCAGAATGGCTTGAAACGTCGAGAAAACATAAAATTAGCAATTCGGATTTTTTGATGAAAACATAAACTTCTCCTTCGGGAAGTTAAAAAAATGGGTTGAAAATTTTTTTTTGCATTGTAATATACCAAAAACGATGATTTTTTGCAATTTTTGTTTGGGACACCTCTAAGGAGAGATCCCATGGGTGGATCGGCCTTCCGAAGTTAGTGGGACTCGTTCATACATTTGGACGCGATTAAAAAAATTAAACCCTCAATGCATGGGACATCTAAATTTATTTTAGAGGTATGGTTTCTTCAGCAAAGTATCTTATTTTGATCCTTAGTATCCAAAAATCATATGTGCCTAAGCGACTTTTAAATCGACCTGCCCCAATATATATATATATATATATATATATATAAGGAGTGATATATATATATATATATATATATATATATATTTATAGGCGGTTCGGACTACCGAACATCAGCAACCCGGCCGAGCGGCCTAAGGGTAGGCCTTACTGGAAGATCTCCGAGCAACGGCGGCTTTAAGGCCAGCACGCGCCTTTCGCAAGACAAACTCGCACTATGGGATAATTCGCCTTCGAAAAATAGAAACCACCACGATTCGGATTCTGATGTATCAGAAACTGATCACTTTCTAACGAAAGGTGAGACATTCATAATTATATAATATGTACACTTAAGGGGCACAACTAGTGTAACCGCCTAAAAAAAAGGTAATTTTTGGGAATTTATATTAAAAAAACTACTTTATCAACATTTCTAAATTTTAGGAATATATTTGTACATGCTTTAAGAATACATAGTAATATTTTTGAAGAAAAAAAATTAGATATTTTTTAAGTTATCGTCGATCTCCAACGGCGCGACAAAAAAGGCCCTTCACTGCTGCAGTGATTCCGGCCTTCTACGTGGATGAAATTAAAAAAAAAATCTCGTTAAACTAGATAATATTGTCTGTAAAATGAACTACGATAAAGAAAAAAAAATCAAAAATTGACAAAATGACGACGTTTTTTAAAGAAAAGTCGAATTTTACCCAAAATTTTGTTCGTTTTTGGACTGCCAAAATTCGATTTTTGATCCGATCAAAAAATCGATAGTTCATTTTACGGAGAACTACATATAGAACATGTAAAAAAACATTGATAGTGATCGGATCATTTGTTTTTGAGTAATCGCTGCAGCAAATTCGGAAAATGCTGTTTCGAGAAAAACGCTTTTAAAGATAAAACGATTGTTATACTATACACTATATATATATATATATATATATATATATATATATATATACTCTTTAAATGACTGAAACTCAAAAACTATTTAAGATATCAATTTAAAATTTTGATATGTTATTTTTAAAGGTAAAACCTATCGAAATATGTAAAAATTGAAAATTCGATTTTTTGAAAATTTCACACTATAGTTGTGCCCCTTAATTGAAAGTTAATCCTTGACAATATAAAAAAAATTGCTGAAATTCCTTCGAAACTGACTGATGGATTCATTTTCATATTTTTTCTATTTCTGCCATATAATTACTACATAATTTGCGTAGGAGCTTTCCTGTTAACACCATCGCACGATTTATCAATGGATCGAGCAGCTGGAATTTGTGAAAAAATGAACTTTAGAGGATGCTTCAGTCTAACAAAAACAGCAACCGGAATCCTTTTCAAATTTTCAGATACGCAAGACTACCAAGCCGTTTTTAGAAAGGGATTTCACAAAGTAACAGGAGCGCGATTCTATCGCAAAGTACGTATAAAATTTAATATTTTTATCAAGAATCCTCTTAACTATGAATTTTTTTCTACAGGTTCCCATACCCTGTCGGCCTCAAAAAACATTTACGTTGTATGTACTGGATGTACCAGAAAATTTACCAGAAGAAGATGTTCGTCACTCATTGTACAAATTTTCTTCAGTGGTTGAAGTTGTACGATTATACCCACAAGGTAATAATTTTTGTTTACTTTCTAATTTAAAAAAAAGTTTCCATGGAATTTAATCATTTATCTGTAATTGACGAATATATTCGTCATGAAGAAGTGGCTGGATTTTTTTATGTTGACGAGTGTATTCGTCATTTGTATTATATAAACTAGAGGTGTATGGCATAGTGCCTTAAAGCAAATTGGTGGAACTTCCCGTACCGTAATATTCGAGGAATGTTAAATGTTTTCAAATAGATTTTCATAAATACTGTAACTTTCATTATTCGAATTTTATAGGAAAAACTAGTGGTGTATTGCATCATGCTTTAAGGCAAATTGCTGGAACTTTCCGTACCGTAATGAAATATTCGAGGAATATTAAATGTTTTCAAATGAATTATTATAAATACTGTAATTTATGTCTTTTCAGAAAAGTAAATTCACAAAATTTAATCAATCAAATTTAAAATGAAGGATATATATATATATATATATATATCATTCAAATCGAATGCTTGTCCGATTTAAATGATTCAAAGAACTTTCTGCTTGTCTTAAGAAAATAATTGATTTTGGAAAAAAAAATTGTATAATTCTTTTTTTTTTTTAGATTTTTTTGTATATCGAAAATAATTACAATAATGTTACAATATTTATAATAATCTATTTGAAAACATTCAGTATTTTTCGAACATTTTATTACGGTACGGGAAGTTCCAGCAATTTGCCTTAAGGCACAATGCCATACACCCCACTAGTTTATTTCAAGTATTTTAGCTAGAATTAAAATTGAAATCCGACCTATTTTTGATATCCAAAAATATTTATGAAAATTAATTTTAAATTTAAAATAAAAAAAAAATTTAAAAAAAAACAATTGTTTCGTCAACACTAGCAAAAACTTATTTGAATCATTTAAATCAGACGCTTAGTTCTGTCAAAAACTGCCATTTTTTGTACATTTAGCTCCGTATCTCCTAAATGGCTATATCTACCTTTGCCAAAAACTAATCACCACTTCTCACCATCATTACGAATTGAATGTTTTTGAATCATTCAAATCGGATACTCCGTTCTCTCAAAAACCTGATTTCTGTTTTCTGCACTTTTTGCTCCGTATCTCCGAAACGGCTGGAGCAACCTTTTCTAAAAACTAATCAGCACATCTCCTATCAATAGGAATCGAAGATGGACAAACAATTGTATCCATATATTGATACATAAAAACACATACACACATACACATCTTGGGCGGTATCGAGTCCGACATACCCAGACAGAACACCAGTCTGGGATGCATAAAGGCATTTCCTTCGCTATACAAAAAAACACATACACATGTATTTTTTCTGTGGTATGCCAAAATTTTCAGAAACCTCTGAAACGTGAATATATGCAAAAAAAATAATTTTCAATTTGTTGGTCCATTACTATAACTTACCCTAGGGGAAGTTAATTATTCAATTATGGAAAATTTATAGGATACATCAGAAGGCCTCTATCTTCGATCGAGACAAGATCGATACCAACTAGTCAATCACTTGAAACGAGATCTAATGCCGGCGATAAAGATGATGGCAAAGAAGATTGCAGTATTCCAATCAGCGCCGCCAAAGATGCCGGACCGCCGCCCATTAGGGTGACCGTTGCCTCTCACGACGAATATAAAACATTGCTGCAGAGCGGTTTGGACTTCTACGGCGCCACATTTTTCCCGACAGAAACTTTAGCACCGGCCTGCGTCAAGCTGGCAACTAAGAAAGGAACAAGGTAAATAATAACTTAAGTCAATATTGAGTTATTAAAATTTATTAACTTCCCGAAGGAGAAGTTTATGTTTTCATCAAAAAATCCGAATCGCTAATTTTATGTTTTCTCGAACTTTCAAGCCATTCTGAATCGAATGAGACCAAATTTGGAAAAAGTATGTGTGTGTGTGTGTATGTAAACAGATTTTTTGCAGTAAATCGACGTTTTCTCGAAAACGGCTGGACCGATTTAAAAAATCTGAAAGCCACTCGATGTATCTCGATGAGGACTATTGTTTGTCAGTTTTGTGCGACTATCGGCCAAGCCGTTTCTTTATAAATCGCAGAAAAGTGAAAAATTTTTCGTCTACGTTTTAGCCCGCAATTTTGAATCGATTTTGAAAATTTAAAAACCGTTCGAGAAATATTGGTTGGGAATCGTGCCGATTAGTTTTTGGTAGAGATCGGCCGGGCCGTTTCCTTGTAATAAAGTTTAAAAAAAAAATCGACGATTTTTATGATTATTTTTTTGACGGTAGATACCATAGTCTTCTAGATCATACTAAAATATTACGGCCCTACGACAATTGGTTTAGCTTTAAAAATTCGTCAAAGTTTGCAAAAATTAGTATGATCTTTTTGGCATTTGTCAAAATTAGAACTTTCATCGACGTTGGCTTAAAAACGCCTGAACCGATTTCAGATATTTAAAAAGCATTTGATGTATCTCGATGAGGATTATCGTTTCTCAGTTTTGTGCGACGATCGGCCGAGCCGTTTCTTTGTAATTTGTAAAAAAGTGTTTAACTTTTCGTCCACATTTAAGCTAATACTACCGAACCGATTTTAAAAAATCAAAAACTGTTCGAAAGATATTAGTTGGGAATGGTACTGATTAATTTTAGGTGAAAATCTACCGAGCCGTTTTCTTGTAATTAACTGTTGAAAAAAAAATTTAAGCCGGTTTTTATGAAACTTTTTTTGATGATATATATCATGGTCTTATAGAACTTACTGAAATATTACGGCCTTACAACAAGTAGTTTAATTTTAAAAATTCATCAAAGTTTGAGAAAATTTGTAGTTTTTTTGACGTTTGTTAAAAATAAAATTATTTGATTTAGTTGGTATAACGATAGTGTACTTGGTTTTGAACATAGTTAACCATTAAAGTTCTACGGAAACTGGTTCAATTATAAAAATTATTGATTTTTAAAATTTGCTTTCAGAAAATACTCCGAGTTAACGTGTTCGTTCGTTCATTTGCAATGATGTGTAATAAATCCACTCGGAATACTTAAAATCACTCATAAATTTATTTTTTTATTGATTAAGTCGATTATTTACACGTTTCGGGAAGTTCATGTAACTTGCGAATACCAACAAATACCAATACCAACTAGTTATTATTAAATTTATTAACTTATAATTATTGAAAATTATTAAAACTTAATTAAGTTTTGTGTCTGAAGTTAAAAAAAACACGTGGTGCATAGCATCGTGCCTTAAGGCAAATTGCTGGAACTTCCCGTAACAAAATGTTCGAGGAATGTAAAAGTGCTTATTAAATTGGGCGATGAGAGAGTATTTTACAAACAACTTATGTGTATATTTACAAGAAATTTGTTTAATTTTTGTTTAAATTTTGAATTTTTTAATAATTTTGTTTTTTTTTAATTTTGAAAAACATTTTTTGGAATTTTTGGTAAAAATCTTTTTTTAATTTTTTGAGAATTTGGAAATTTTTGAAAATATTTCTTTTTTTTTCTCTATAAAATATCTGGAAGTTTGGTGTGCATATGTCTAATAAACATTTTTGATCGCCAAATGGCAATTTTTCAACTTTTTTTGAGAGTCCATAACCTGTCCATAGACCTGTCTTTCTGAAAATTCAAACAGTTTTTCGTTTAGTCAATACAAATAAAATGTTTTATTTTTTGAATTATGCAAATCGGACGCTCC